ATTCTACATATTTCTAAAATGATTGCAACAACAGAAAATCTAGTGAAAATTTGTGAAAAGTAGAATTATCAAAAAAGAAACTCGGAGACACAGGGAGCTTTATGGACTTCATATTGTTGCAAGATAAATAATCCTTTTTTCATTTTTCTGATTGTTTTGAAACTTTGCACCTTTGTCAGAGCAAAATTGATAGACAATTGTTGTTTAATAAGTAAGATATACCCTAGTGGATAAAATAAAGTGCAGATTCAGAATTTTTGTCTCTAAAATGCTTGTTTTCACGGATGATTTGAACAAAGTTTACTAAAAACTTAAACCTAACTTTATACCTAAGCTAATAGCAAATGATCATAGCTTCCCTCCGTGAAATTATTTAAGTTTGGTTTTAAGGACTTAAACTAACATTTTGTTGGGTCCGAAGCCATCTTACCATCTGCACTAGGTTTTGCAACGGATGGAACTTCTTTATGAATAAGTAGAGAAAAAATTTGTCCAAGTGATTCGAAACATTCTAAGCGATCAAATTGATTTGTTCAGGGTTAAAACATTTACTTAACTCTGTTTCTCGCAAGATCACGAATTTTGAAAAAATTGTGCTTGTTTTGGAAACTGGCATTTTTAAACCTGGAAACAACTGGGAATTCCCCGAAACTACTGGTAAGTCGTTTCACGAAGGGTAGCTCTGATTGATCATTTGCTCCCGGTCTTTGTAAAATTTTGTTGAACTTCCTTGTCAAAGATGTGAGAAATCATTCTTTGAACCAGGGCGGATCTAAGATTTTCTCGAGTGGGGGGGGGGGGTGCGGATTTTCAAAAAACTTTCCAATGCTCTCCCATTTTCCAAGTTCCCCCAAAGCACTAAAAAGCTCCTGTTTTGTTAAAATTTTAGGGACAGTCAGCCAAAAATATCTTTTTCAAAATAGTACAAAAAGGGACCCCCAAATTCGCCCATGCATTAAACACAGGCGTTTTAGAGATAAAACCGCAGTTTGCGCCTAATTTTGTTCACTTTTTCAACAAAATTCTACTCAACAATTGAACGCTTTACTAATCATTCTTTTTACAATTTTGATTACACCTTTGACTCAAATTAGTTGTCCAAAACATGCTGCTCTGTTTTATGAACTACAAGGTTCTCTTGTTTGTATTACTCCCCGTGATATAATGCTCCGTTGAAAGTTGCATCGATCCGCACAGTTTTGTACCTTGATTTGCAAATCATCAGCTTGAAAAAGAGACAGGTATTTCTGCAAAGTTAGGTCCTTAGAGTTTTTTGCACAACTTTTCAGCGTTTTGGCAAAGCCTTCACTCAGAGTAGCGACAAAAAAACTACGAAAAAAGAGTCCGAAATTTTATAATTTATATTGATTAAGCTACGTTTTCTTTATCTTGCCATTGTCAAGCAGACCGAAAGCCAGACTGACTCAGATAGACACGCGTGTAATTTTTAGTTTCGAATTATAGCAGTGCTTTAACCATTATCAGTAAAGTGAAATATAACATATGTTTTCAACATGTTTTCTTGCCGTGTTTAAAAAAAACGTGTTTTTTTTTCGACGCCATTTTTGAAATTTTTGTGCATTATTTGAAAAACTAGTGAAAAACTGAAAAACAAGTGCATTATTTGAATCACTTGTGCAGTATTGTTACTAGAGCTCTCAACCAAAGATAGAAGAGCATGTTTTTGCTCTTTCACACAAGTTTTTTCTTGACAAGGCATGAATAAAAAATGAAATATTAGAACGCATGAACGAAAAAACAAATCATTTGCATAGTTTTGCGCACTTTTCCGGGCTCTTTTTTTGAAAGAACCCCAATTCAAACAATCATAAGAACAAAATCAAACAGAAAGAGCAAAAACATACTTTTCAACAGTTAGAACATAGTTGAAGATGGCCTCGGGCAAAAAAGCCCGGCCTTGGGCACACAAAAAGCCCGGCCTTGGGCACTTTTTCACTCGTGCATTTCTCAATTATGTTCTAACTACTACTTCGAGAGATAAAAACACGTAACAGCATCAAAATTTTCCAAATGAGTGTTTCTTTTTTCGTTTTTTTTGCATGTGCTTCATACCAGATAAATGGCAGCTTATTTAACATCTTGTAAATTGTTGAAATCTTGAGACCACGTGTCTCGATTGATCACCTAATTTTTCTGTTTGAACTCATAGCTGCTTTTTAAAAAAAAAATTTATCTCCGAGCTTTATTTGAACAATCAAACTTTTGAAACAGATGGAAAAAACTACGTGTTGGCCAGAGTGTTTTACACTAGTGGACAAAATTAAGCGCAAAATGGAGATTTTACTGTGTAAAATGCCTGTTTTCAATTTGAATTTCGAACAACATTACATTCGAAACTCAGTAAAATTTGTAATTGACCGAGAGCAAATGTTCAGAGCCACCATCAGTGAAAGTATCAATATTTGATTCAATGACTTACTAATGTAATCCAGGTCCAAAAACTCCAGTTTTCCTCATCTGAGAAAAAAATTTTACTGAAAAAGTAACAAACATCTGAGCTTAGTAAAAATTTCACACTGATTGTTTCCATTTTCTCGCTGATAGTGTTTCAAGCTGCATGAATATTTACTCCGCTTATTCAAGAAAGATTTCACTACGATGCAAAACTTAGTGAAGATGAGGAAAACTGGTAATTTCGGACTTGGATTACATTGGTAAGTCAGAGAAACCAAATTTTGATATCATCACTTATGGTAGCTCTGATCATTTGCTCTCGGACAATGTAAAAATTTTACTGAAATTCGAAAAAAATGTTGTTTCAAATTTACATTGAAAACAGGTATTTTAATTTAGACTTTGCGCTTATTTTTGACCACTAGTGTACAACAGATAACAACAACTTTTTGGTTTCAATGACTTATCAAAGTAATACTGTTTTTAAAAGGCCAGTTTTACTTATCTGTACTAGAGCCAATCAGGGTCGTTTTCATTCGACAGTGTCGGCATATGAGGATATCAGGGTCAATTTAACTCGACTCAGTCGACACATGAGCTAACCATGTTCAAACAGAGTCAATAAAATCGACATATATGCCAATCAGGGTCAATCAATGTCGACAGAACCGACACCTGAGCATATCAGGGTCGAATTCATTCATCAGAGTCGACACATGAGCTTATCAGGGTCGATTTAAGTCGACAGAGTCAAAACATGGGCATATCAGCGTCGATATCAGTCAACAGAGTCCACACATGAGCATATCAGGGTCAATCACAGTCGACAGAGCCATCACATGAGCCGATAAGGGTCAATTTGATTTGACAGAGTCGACATATGAGCATAAGAGGGTCGATTTCAGTCGACAGAGTAGTCGACAAATGAGCCAATCAGGGTCAATCAATGTCAACACAGTCGTTACATGAGGCAATCTTGATCAAACGCAGACAAAAATTTTGACACACGTGTCAATCAGGGTCAATCACAGTCGACAGAGTCGACTCATTAGCCGATCGGGGTAAATTTCTTGCGACAGAGTCGACACATGAGCACATCAGGGTCAATTTTAGTCGACAGATTCGACACATGGGTTTATCAGGGTCAACTTCATTTGAAAGTGTTGACTCATGGGCATATCAGCGTGGATTTTTTTCGACAGAATCGACGCATGAGTTTATCAGGGTCCATTTCATTCGACAGTGTCGACACATGAGCATATCATGGTCGATTTCTTTCAACAGAGGTGACACATGGGTTTGTCAGGGTCGATTTCATTCGACAGTGTCGACACATGAGTATATCAGGGTGGATTTTTTTCGACAGAGTCGACACATGGGTTTATCAGGGTCGATTTTATTCGACAGTATCGACACATGAGCACATCAGGGTCAATTTCATTCGACAGATTCGACACATGGGTTTATCAGGGTCGATTTCATTCGACAGTGTCGACACATGAGCATATCAGGATGGATTTCTTTCGACAGAGTCGACATATGAGCTTATCAGGGTCGATTTCATTCGACAGTGTCGACACATGAGCATATCAGGGTCGATTTCTTTCAACAGAGTCGACATATGGGCTTATCAGGGTCGATTTCATTGGACAGTGTTGACACATGAGTATATCAGGGTGGATTTCTTTCGACAGAGTCGACACATGGGTTTATCAGTGTCAATTTCATTCGACAGAGTCGACACATGGGTATATCAGGGTCAATCAATGTCGACAGAGTCGACATAAGAGTTGATCAGGGTCAATCAATACATTTCGACAGAACGACAGACTCTTGAGTCAACTGGTGTCTAATTTGTTGCTTTCTTTTACACGAAAATTAAAAGTTTTTAAGACTCAAAGAATTAAATCTGGTCAACTTTAGAATGACTTGAACACAAAATTTTACCACGAAATTAAAAAATAATAGATCTTAAAACATTTTGACATTATGAAACAAAATGCAGAATCCCGAGTCAGTTGAAAAAAATGGCTCATCTAATGAAACTACGAATGAAAAACAAGGTGATTACGTTTTGAAGAAACCTTTTTTTTATAAAATCAGTTTTTTAGAAAGAAGAAAACGAAGAAATACCTATCGAGATCTAAATTGATTCCAAGCCTTCAAAATTTCAAAATTTTAAATTAATTCAGGCTAGTCAAGGATTATGATATTCATACACTATGACGAACTCTGACATCAAAGTTAACAAGATCCGGAAATTTCGCCAACAATGACTATGATCGAAAAAAGTTAACCAGAATAAGCCCCATATGACAAAAGTTGAACAGACTCAACCAAAGTTCAACCCATACGGTAAATACAGTTCACCGTCTCAGCTGAGTAGTGTTACTGATTTATTTATCATAACTTACAGGAACCATTTTAAAACCTTTTTTTTTCAGACGGTAGTGTTATGATATGTTTTACAGCAAATTAATATTCCGAGTTTTGCTATCAATAAATTTCCAGTGAATCTTTTAATAAGAGTTTTTTTGTTGACAATTTTTAAATATAAAAACCAAATTCAATTATGTACTGGTAGCTTTTCTCATTCATTTTAAGCTTAAAATGAAACATTTACAGCACATGTCCTTATTTAATCTTATTTGAAATCTCAAATGTTTAGCAAGTAATCTAGAAATCAATATGTTAAGTTCATGAAATAAACTTGACATTTTTTTGGTTCTTCTAGAAGAGTTCATGTCTGAAATTAGTTCCAATTAATTTTTTTGTGGTTAGTTCATGTTCTTCTATAGTCATCTTCTCTAGTCTTAGTTTGTCCTCCAGTCAGCCGACTCGAATCATTCTCATCTCACTGGATGAAAGCAATATCCATTCACTAGAACCACCATCAATATATCGCATATGTTGATTGAGTGGTGCTTCTGAAGTGACCAGTTTACCATTCAGATAAACATTAGAACAAGATCTATACCACCAGCCACCTCCTTCCCCAAACCGTGCAGCACAGTTGCCAATATGTTCGTCTTGATCTCTGTCAGTCGTTGTGAAAGCCATTCCGTTGTGCCAATCAAGGCCAGAACCAGTACCACTGGTGTTGTACATATTCTCACTCTTTGCCACCATTGTGCCAAAAGATATATTGTAAAAGGGAGCGGGTTGGATCGTGAAGTCTAAAACAGAGCAAATTTATCCTCTTCGAATTACGCCTAAAATATGTTCACCCAAAAGTACACAGATGATTTTTGTTGAAAGACAGCAAATTAAGATCGCTTGTATCAGGCGATACCCTGACAGTTCTGACTGGCCTTTATCTGCATAACTCATGTTTTTGTTATATTTTTGAATGTCAAGATAATTCTCTTTCAGTAACAAAGTATTTGTAGCAATTACAGTGCCGTATTTCCTTTTTCTGCTTTTCAAACTGAAAAGCTGTTCGAAGTCATAAACAGTATCAAACTTTTGAAATTCAATAAAAACTTTCAAAGATGATCTTCATAAGGAAAATAAATTTTTATTAATCAGGCATTGGTCAATGCATACATAAACAAGCCATACAAAAAAGGCACTTTCAGCGTTTTTGAAAAAATATATGTCAGAGAAATGGAAAAATTTACTGTATCCAGGACTAAGCTCTGCGCACAAAGATTTTTTGAAAAGTTTTTTGGTGTACTATAGTTTTTTTGCCAGTGAAAAAGAATCAAAATAATTATTGGGCATTTTCGAAACTCATGTTCTTTAAAAATTTAATAACACCATTTTAGCAAAAGGTATCATGTTTGTATGACTAGTATTTTCTATAGACTTAGTTCATGAAACTGTTTGATTAGCATTTTTGGTCTATGGTGGTCAAGCAGGGGTTAGCAGGTTTTGAATGATTTTTTGCGCATAAAACCAATTTCTGACACTGGTTGAAAAACGATATTGCCCATTTAACCCATTTACGAGTTTTTTAACCAAAACAATGGGGTTTTTAACCAAAACATTTTGATTATCTCGTTTAGACAGTTATTTTTAAAATACGTTAAGTTGCTCTGAGATCAAAATATCTAATTAAAAGTGCAAATTAGTTTGACAATGCCCTTTTTTTGATTGACAACAGTATGCGGGTGTTTTCTTGATATTTTTTTCTCATTTTTAAACTTTTAATTGAAAGCTGTGTAATGATGACTGTTTGTTTAGTTTACCTGACCATTCGCCCCAAAAAAGTGTATTGTTGGAGAAACTGCGCATCGAAACTCGAAGGTTCCATCTTCCTTTTTGTGTCAACCTGTGCATTCTGTTCAACCCCAGCCACACATCTCCTGCTCCGGAAAAGTCTCCAAAACCTGCTTCATACTCCCCAAAAGTGCGGTTGAATAAAATGTCAAATTGTTTTCGCCTCTGTAAAACTATCTCCTGTCCCCACTGAAATGCGGGTCAACTTAAAAATTACAATCCCTTTCAAGAACAGGAGTAATTCTTTTGTAAATTCAACCCAGAAAACTGTATTTCGGGAACTAAACGGTATTTTAGAACGCATTTGGACCCAAGTTTGTATGAAAAAAAAAACACGTGAAACATCCGGGAAGAGGTCTGTTTGAGGCTAAGCTAGATGTAATTGCTTCATTTTGACATGTGCCGCTCTGATAGTTAGCATTTGTTTAGTGAAATTGATTCAATTTAAATACAAAAATTTTTATATACCAATTTTTCATGCTTTAAAGGGAGTAGGAAGACCCTTAGATAAATCATATATTCAGCTTTTTCAAAATTTTTGCTGCAAATGCTTGAATAAAACTAATTTTTGTACATGCTTTTTTTTATATTGTTGCCGCGTTTTTTCTAAGATGAGCGTTTTTTAGTTATTAGCCTCCAGGATAGTTTTTTTGTTCTCAATATCCGCTTTTAGCATTTGTTTTTGTGTATTGTGATTGCAATGCTGCAAGATTTTTTGACCTTTTTTTATTTCTTGACATTCAATGGTAAAGTTTCCTAAATCATACATAGAAAACGGTTTTTCTAGATAACTTACTGTTATTTCTTTCAGATTCACCTCCACCCTCTCAATTCTGCTGGATACATTTGCTAACTCACCGGCAACACTATCAATTTTTATTGAAATGTTAGTCAAACCGTCTGCCAGTCGGGCGAGGTTTTCCGTAATACGATTGCTGTTGACATCGTTCCTTCGATTGGCGTCAGTGTGTTGTGCGTTGATCTTTTTTGTTTCATTTGATAAAAAAACTGTCAGGAACAATAGAACGACAACCAATGTCTAAATAATTGAAAAAAAAACATCAATACAAGGAATAAATTACAAAAAGAAAATTATTGGGCTTCTCATGCTGTTGAAGAAAAGTAACATAAAAATTGAACAATCCTCCATCAAATGCCTCACAATTTTTTTTTCAGTAAAAAAAATTTGACAAAATGATTAATTTTCATTAAAAATTTTTAGATTCAAAATTGTTGCTTGTTTTCATTCATTCTTTTTGGCGCCAACGTAACAAATTTTGTGGGGGAGCGCTCGTCAAGAAAACGCAATTTTTTGATCAAAATTTCCCAAAAGTGCCTAAAAACGCCTTTTTTGGTCTGTTTTTTTTTAAAACTTGCCTGCGCCGGAAAATTTTGTTTTTCACTTAATAGGGTCCTTATACTATTTTAGGAGAGCTCGGAAAATCTAATTGGACAACCTAAATAACTTCTGCGAAATTTGCCATGTTTTTAAAAATACCCCCTGGAAAACTTTTGCGCAAGCCACTCGGTTCAAGTTCTACCATTTAAAGTAATTTTTAAACGCTACTGTTCATCAGTTTTCGTTTCATTATTCATAAAAATAACAGTTGTTTTGCGTTTCTGACACTGGCAGAAAATATCTTTAGAAAAAATTGTGGCTTCCACTTGCGCTCAACTGTTTTCGTTTTCCAATCAGTTTAGTTTATGCAAACTTAAGCTTTTGATAAAAATTCTCGCATTTTTTCTTAAATGGAAGTTTATTCAACAACCCCGTACCCAGCAAAGACTTCTGAATTACTTAGAAAAATATATAGATTACCTTCGCTATAACTACTGTTTCCGAACAAAAAAATCTATTTCTTATCTGACAATAGAAACAAACAAGTTCAAGTGAAGTCTAAGCTAAGAGCATTTCACCGCTCTACCATTTCATATTAGATCAAAACGTTTTTAAGTATACAAAAAAGTCGTAGCTTTATGATGCGTTCAAAATCTCTCATCTGACATCTCCGGTTTGAAAGTATAGTCCTGTGTACTCTAACAGGGGCGACGGATCTAGAATTTTCTCGAGGGGGGGGATTTCGAAAAAAAAATTTCAAAAAATTTGTCGACAGTTTTTTTAAAGTAGATCAAATTAATTTTCTCATCTCTCACCAATGACTTATAAAGTCCCTATTTGACCAAATTTTCTGCTGCGCAGGCAAATCTTAGAAAAACAGGCCAAAAAATTGAACTTTTTGTTAAAACTAGGGTATTTTGACGCCAAAAGCGTACTAAAAAAATGGACCAAAATGCTGCTCAACTGGTAGCTACAAGGTTTTAATTGTTTTAAACACTTTAATTATGCATTTAACTTTTTCTTCTTTTTTCAATTAGTACTGGTTTAGCCACTCCTAATGTACTCTTAGATAGTGTCATTTGATTACAATTAAAACACCTCAGCGCAACTCTTCTTTATCAATTGAAGTGCAAAAAATTACGGGAAGTTCTTTGCACACGAAAACGTAGTGGAGTGGACCGCTGTCACGATGTCGTATCTAACTATAAAAACTCGAATCGAAATGAACCCCCCCCCCCCAAAAAAAAAAAAAAACGCTCTAGGATAACGGGATGTTATCTTATTGCTCCAAATTGCATATGAGCCCTTCAATAAAAATGATCAAGGTGTTTTTGATGAACACTGTTCAATAATGGTCTAATTTGTTGTCATGAATCTTTGAAAAAGGTCGCTCGAAATTTCAAACAACTTGATTAATTCCCGCTATAATTCCATAGTTTGAAACTTTACTTACTGCCAAAACAACAACGGCAATCACCAATGCGATCATCATAGCCATGAAACATTTCACAGGCCAATTATTCGCTTGCGGCTCTTTGTCTTCCTTTTGTCCGCCGCTGCGCTGAGTAATCGCCGGCTCCTCGTAAACATATTTGCTACCGGAAATCTGCTCATCTTGTTCAATGTTCGCCGACTCCTCATAAACGCTATCTTCCCGTTTGTTACCGGAATTCTGCCCATCTGCATTGATGTTCGGGTTAGATTCAGTATTTTGAAGTTGGAAACTAACATCACCAGTCGATGTTTTGAAAGATGCCATTTGCGTGTTGTTTATTAAAAAAATTTGGTTACCCCTTTTTAAATGCGCTTGTAAAGTTTATGTATAACCACCGATATTAAGAGCTGTGCTCTTATCTATCTTTTTCATTTACTGTGCAAGTGTTCAAATATTTTCAATAATGACCAAAGATCTGGCTTTCTACCTGGCTTATGAAAAAAAGCAAGTTAAACGTTCTACAAGAACATCATAATACAGTTAAAACTACTCTTTTGGCACTTTTATCAAATGCGCTCGAACTATAATTATCTCTGTCGAGTTAAAACTAGTTATGTGTACTTTTATGATTACCCCTTTTTTAAATGCGCTTGTAAAGTTTTTTATAACCACTGATATCAAGAGCTGCGTGCTCTTATCTATCTTTTTCATTTACTGTGCAAGTGTTCAAATAATTTCAATAATGACCAAAGATCTGGCTTTCTACCTGGCTTATGAAAAAAAGCAAGTTAAACGTTCTACAAGAACATCATAATACAGTTAAAACTACTCTTTTGGCACTTTTATCAAACGCGCTCGAACTATAAATATCCCTGTCGAGTTGAAACTAATTTTGTGTAATTTTATCGAAAATTACATAAATATCTCTGATTTTATCAATTGTGAATTAAAGGTAATTTATGAAAAATGCATTATAAAAAGTCTAATTGACATTCACATGCAGAACATTAATTTCTTGCAGAGTTTTTTTGCAGTTCTCATCTAAGCCAGAGAGGTTGTTTTGCTTTCCGGATACGGTGGCGCTTCTGGCATGCTAGGGTACTGCTGATAACCCCCAGAATCTGAAACTGGGTACGGAAGCGATTGCTGCTGCGAATTTTGATGAGGTTGGTTATAAGACTGACCCCCTGATGGCGGGTAAGGATTTGGATTCGGGGGGTAGTTATTGTAGGCCCCTGGATACTGTCCAGGTGCTGCTGATTGGTTGGTGGGTGTGTACCCTGGTGTGTATTGGTACCCTTGTTGAAGAGGGGGATGGGCTGCCATGTTTGGGTTGTAGTGGTTGGGAGCATATCCAGGTGGGGGTGGGGGCTGATTAGGATGGACTGATTGAGTCATCGGGGGAGGGGGAGGTGGGATTGTTTGGCCCGGACCCCAATTCGGTTGACCTAAAACAACAAACAAGGTCATTTAATTTGCATGAGGTGTAATTTATTCGAGGCATAATACAAACAATTTTTTTTGATAGTTTCGAAGACGAGAAAACGTGGGAATGTTTGTTCTGTACGCCATGTTCTAACCCGCAGATCTGTATCCCTAAAAATTCTCTAAAAATTCTCGCAAGATCTTACAAAGTACGGCGTTTGCATCTCAACTTAGCTATCTTGAAAAATCTTGTTGGAACTTCGCAAGATTGTTATTCATCTGAAAGAGTTCTTTGTACGATGTTTGCAAAAAAAAATCCCAAAAATCATTTAATGTTGGCCAAAAATTGTTTAATCTTTTCTTCGGCTGAAACTGTTCTCAAAATGATGTGACAGTAAGGAAAATTACACTCTAAATAATGTGCAGAAAAATAATTTATATAGAATCGATGAAAGATTTTGCGCATGTAGACTTTTTTAATGGTTCACACGAAACTGAAAAGGATATAAAAAGAAAATGGGGGGGGCTCTGTTGGAAATTAAAGCCTGTGTCACGTACCTCCAAAGGGGTTGTTGTTCTGTCCCCCTCCTCCTCCTCCAATGTCACTGGTGAGTATCTTCAGGGCAGCCACAGTCTGTATGGTGTCGTGTGAGATATGAGGTCGCTGATACTAATCAAATGTAATATTAATAGATAATAGATAATAAATTGTCTTCAGATTTATAATCAATAAAATGCATTCTTTTCTTCACATAATTATTTACCATTTTGAAGCCTGAGAAGCGACATTAGACAAACTCAAAACAAAAAGACAGTTCGCAGCAAAAGGCATTTTGAAATTTAGGGAGGGGGGGTCGATTGGTTACCACAACTTCAGAGTTTTTAGAGTTTTTATCACTCAAACTTTTCCAGCCAGTCAAACAATTTGTATTGCGTTTATGCCTTTACTTTGTTGACCCCCCACCTTTGAAATTTTCGCCGCTATCATATAATATTTTGAGTGGCGAATGCGCGCCAAAAAAACTCCATGGTCGAAACTATTCCAAATGTGTCCAATTTCGCCAATTTCGTACTTTTTGTTAAAAACGTCTGATCCGCAAAATTTTTAAGAAAAATAGGTCCTGGCAGTTTTTTAAAAGAGTTCTTAAATTTTTTGCAAACCACAGAAAAGTTCGGAGATACATTTTCGAAGGTCCGCCTGAAAGTCCCAGAGCAGAGTGTATAAATCAGACTAGTCGGCATTTGGGTTAAAATTTGCATGATTTTTGTAGCTACATGCGTTTATCATATTCCTCTGTATTTTTTAGTGTTTTCGGTTGGTTTATTTTCCGGCAGGGATCTTGCTTACTAGTTTTTTAACTACCCCCCCCCCCCATTACCATAAGAGATGTGGCTCGTTGTAAGAAAATAAGAATTAGTTATAGGCGTACAATATACCACCATTGTTACCTGGTTGCAGAGTCCCTCCAGTTTGGGTCGAATGAAACAGCAGAGGAAGCAGCAGCCTGCCAGAATGAGTGCCAGAATGACCAGGATCAAAATGGCCAACCACACTGGCATCGGTTCCTTCACACAACATCGGCCAGGGGTCATCACCTGCAGAACACAACAGGGTTGTTATACAAATATGAGATTTTTGTTCCTGTAAGAATAGTTGAAAAGAAAAGTAATAGTAAACAAATGAGCTTGTTTTTTTTCGAATACTTTCAATCCCATTAAAGTTTCTAGAGCAGTAGCTGTCCATTTATAATTTACTAACTGATGATATAAGAAACAGAATTTTTTTGGAAGCTATTCTGACAACAATCTAATAAAGTTTTCTCTTTGGTCGGTTGAAACAAGTCTTTAACGGTTTTTTATTTTTTTACTGATAAAAAATTTTTTGTTCACTCTTTTCTGCTCAAAACCATGGCCCTCTGAACATTCTTTATATAATCAGTTCTCTTTTGCTCATCCCATCGCCAAATCCTCGCTTTCTACATTTCATGCCGGTTTTTTTCATTCTTTTGATAGTGTCATCCCTCCTGAATGGCGAAACCATAAGGTTTATTGTATTATATATACATAAATTGTTTTTATACTGGTGGCATGACCTTGTGGGTTTTCAAGGCCATCTTAATTACCAAACCGAGTGATCGGCAGAGCAAAAAATAATTTGTTTATCATACAGTTGTCAATTTACCCATAACCTGCGTCATTGTATTTGTCAATTTCGTTCGCATTCGATATTGAAGATCTACGCATACCGTAAGGTTTGACATGGTACATCCATCAAACTATACCAAGAACCTGCTAAATATCAATCCATTTTGACCGCGAGCATCTGCAGGTTCACCATTAGAATGGTCGAAGTGGGCGGCCCTAATGGAAATGGCCATATTCGCCAAAGATCGAATTGAAGTACGAAATTCACGCCGTGACAAAGCGACACTCACAGATCCGACTGAACCCATATACGAAGTCAAAATAAATGGAGAAACCGACGCTCAAAAAACTTCCGGGTACGTAAACAAGGAGAGATAACCGGCTGGGAGAATAAAGTATTAAAAGCACGAGAAAAAGGAGTGCAAACAATTCCTTTGGATGGAACGAGGTAGAGGCAAAAGTCAAAAGTTACATATTCTTATGTTTGGGTGCTGAAGGCCAGAGACAACTAGAGTGAAAAAAGACCGGGCGTGGCCCTACAATCTACGAAAACGAGACAAATAGTAACAATTGTGGAAGCTTTTTCATAACAGAACAAAAAATTGCATTTGAACGCCTTAATTTGTCGAAAACAGGGAAAAAATGAACCACTTCAACAATTTCATACAGATTTAGTGAAATTGGCGTAAAGGGCCGACTGCGTAGATTCAGAAGACGAATGCGTACAAGATAGGTTTACTGCCTAAATAAACCACAAAAAGACAGCCAAAGAACTATTAGCAGAGATACGATCTGCACAAGATGCGTACGAATATGCAACTTGTCGAGAAAAGGGAACCAAACACGGTAGAGCAACAAAAAAAACTTTTCGGTCCATCATTTTCTACACCAACAAAATTAGAATTTATGGGATACACACAACCTCGAGAAAGAAAAAACAGGCAAACTAACAAACTAATCAAAGGGACCGACCTCATGAGGACGATAGAACTTCACACGAGGAAAATTGAACAATAGAAGAGAACAGATTACAAATCACGTGGGACAATACAAGAAATATTACAAATGCTGAAGACAATTCGGTCGGAACCCTTTATAATCATGCACCGCGAAAGATAAGATCTGTTCTAGAAATGCAGAGGGGAGATTTGGCAAAAGTTTGCTAATCTACAAAAGTTAACTTCATGCGAGTGGGAGAAAATGAATAACAACTACAAAACTAAGAAGACATCACAAAGGTAGAAGAGGTAACCCAGTGGCGTTCGCTGAAATCATGTCAACAAACGGATGGGAAGATATCCCACTAGACAACTTCACAGTTATGGCCATAGCAGAAGCGTTTAAAGTCAGAGACACACCAAAAATAACCAAAAAAGACTTAAACGAGCACATAGTAAAATGAAAACGACATCTGAGAACATGAATGCCATTCCAAATTCCGGCAGTCTGATATGTTCCAAGGAAAAAGTCTGCACAACAATTGAGGACAAACGATGAATCGACGACTTTCAACTACATCCCATCGGAGGACGCTGCTCGAGTTCTCGCATTTTATATTGGGAAATTAATGTTTCCGAAAGGACGACTTGCCATTGCACTATAACTCGGATGATGAACAGTTCAATTAGCACCGTTCATCATCGTAGACGATCAAAAGGAGAAAATCGTCGGAGGACATTAAACTGGTACATATTTTTAATTCGCTCGTTAAGTTCATGTTTAACCACTGATATCAAGAACTGTGCGCTTATCTATAATATTCATTTACTTTACGAGTGTTGAAATAATTTCAAAAACGCCTAAAGATCTGGCTTTCTACCTGGCTTATGTAAAAAAAAGCAAGTTAGACAGTCTACAAGATCATGCATAATCCAGTTAAAACAAATTTTGTACCTTTTTATCAAATGCGCTCGAGCTATAAATTTATTTGTCGAATTAAAACTAGTTATGTGTCTTTTTATCAAAAATTACATAAATATATCTGTATGTATCAGCTGTGAGTTAAAGGTAATTTATGAAAAAATACATTTAAAGAAATGTATTTGTTATTCACCTGTAGAACATTGAATTCTTGCACTTTTGCACTTCTCATCTAAGCCAGAGAGGTTGTTTTCCTTTCCGGATACGGCGGCGCTTCTGGCTGGCATGATAGGTTACTGCTGATAACCTTCAGAATCTGAAACTGGGTATGGAAGCGGTTGCTGCTGCAAATTTTGATGATGTTGGTTATAAGACTGGACCCCTGATGGCGGGTAAGGTTTTGGTTTCGGCGGGTAATTATTGTAGAAAAACTGCGGAAAACAAAAAAACTGAAACACACCCAAATACAAAGATTCTACATATTTCTAAAATGATTGCAACAACAGAAAATCTAGTGAAAATTTGTGAAAAGTAGAATTATCAAAAAAGAAACTCGGAGACACAGGGAGCTTTATGGACTTCATATTGTTGCAAGATAAATAATCCTTTTTTCATTTTTCTGATTGTTTTGAAACTTTGCACCTTTGTCAGAGCAAAATTGATAGACAATTGTTGTTTAATAAGTAAGATATACCCTAGTGGATAAAATAAAGTGCTGATTCAGAATTTTTGTCTCTAAAATGCTTGTTTTCACGGATGATTTGAACAAAGTTTACTAAAAACTTAAACCTAACTTTATACCTAAGCTAATAGCAAATGATCATAGCTTCCCTCCGTGAAATTATTTAAGTTTGGTTTTAAGGACTTAAACTAACATTTTCTTGGGTCCGAAGCCATCTTACCATCTGCACTAGGTTTTGCAACGGATGGAACTTCTTTATGAATAAGTAGAGAAAAAATTTGTTCAAGTGATTCGAAACATTCTAAGCGATCAAATTGATTTGTTCAGGGTTAAAACATTTACTTAACTCTGTTTCTCGCAAGATCACGAATTTTGAAAAAATTGTGCTTGTTTTGGAAACTGGCATTTTTAAACCTGGAAACAACTGGGAATTCCCCGAAACTACTGGTAAGTCGTTTCACGAAGGGTAGCTCTGATTGATCATTTGCTCCCGGTCTTTGTAAAATTTTGTTGAACTTCCTTGTCAAAGATGTGAGAAATCATTCTTTGAACCAGGGCGGATCTAGGATTTTCTCGAGTGGGGGGGGGTGCGGATTTTCAAAAAACTTTCCAATGCTCTCCCATTTTCCAAGTTCCCCCAAAGCACTAAAAAGCTCCTGTTTTGTTAAAATTTTAGGGACAGTCAGCCAAAAATATCTTTTTCAAAATAGTACAAAAAGGGACCCCCAAATTCGCCCATGCATTAAACACAGGCGTTTTAGAGATAAAACCGCAGTTTGCGCCTAATTTTGTTCACTTTTTCAACAAAATTCTACTCAACAATTGAACGCTTTACTAATCATTCTTTTTACAATTTTGATTACACCTTTGACTCAAATTAGTTGTCCAAAACATGCTGCTCTGTTTTATGAACTACAAGGTTCTCTTGTTTGTATTACTCCCCTGATATAATGCTCCGTTGAAAGTTGCATCGATCCGCACAGTTTTGTACCTTGATTTGCAAATCATCAGCTTGAAAAAGAGACAGGTATTTCTGCAAAGTTAGGTCCTTAGAGTTTTTTGCACAACTTTTCAGCGTTTTGGCAAAGCCTTCACTCAGAGTAGCGACAAAAAAACTACGAAAAAAGAGTCCGAAATTTTATAATTTATATTGATTAAGCTACGTTTTCTTTATCTTGCCATTGTCAAGCAGACCGAAAGCCAGACTGACTCAGATAGACACGCGTGTAATTTTTAGTTTCGAATTATAGCAGTGCTTTAACCATTATCAGTAAAGTGAAATATAACATATGTTTTCAACATGTTTTCTTGCCGTGTTTAAAAGAAACGTTTTTTTTTTCGACGCCATTTTTGAAATTTTTGTGCATTATTTGAAAAACTAGTGAAAAACTGAAAAACAAGTGCATTATTTGAATCACTTGTGCAGTATTGTTACTAGAGCTCTCAACCAAAGATAGAAGAGCATGTTTTTGCTCTTTCACACAAGTTTTTTCTTGACAAGGCATGAATAAAAAATGAAATATTAGAACGCATGAACGAAAAAACAAATCATTTGCATAGTTTTGCGCACTTTTCCGGGCTCTTTTTTTGAAAGAACCCCAATTCAAACAATCATAAGAACAAAATCAAACAGAAAGAGCAAAAACATACTTTTCAACAGTTAGAACATAGTTGAAGATGGCCTCGGGCAAAAAAGCCCGGCCTTGGGCACACAAAAAGCCCGGCCTTGGGCACTTTTTCACTCGTGCATTTCTCAATTATGTTCTAACTACTACTTCGAGAGATAAAAACACGTAACAGCATCAAAATTTTCCAAATGAGTGTTTCTTTTTTCGTTTTTTTTTGCATGTGCTTCATACCAGATAAATGGCAGCTTATTTAACATCTTGTAAATTGTTGAAAT